GAGTGAGGCACAGGAGGCTCTCTTTACTTACCTGAGTACCTCTCTGCATTTCTGTTTCTAACTCTGTGTGAGTCTATTTCTGTATTTTATCAACCCCTCTACTTCGTTCTGTATTTCTGAGTTCCCTTAGATGCCTCCCACCTCTTTCCATGTATATCTCCTGTCTCTGTGAGTCTTCCTATGGGTACCTCGATAGGCTTGCTTTTGTCTCATGCTCTGTTGTTCTTTCTGTAGACTAGAGGGACACAGAGAAGGGATTGCTAGATCTAATTGGCTCTCTTCCGAACCTGAGTTACTATGTCCCTCTATCTTTAAGTGTTTCTCCGATGGCTCTTTTCTTTCACTCTGTTCCCCTATGAATCTGTCCATCTTGCATATACCTGCACTGAGACCTCACCCATACCCATTAAATAAAAAGACAGAAAGAACAGATTGCAAAGGTAATTGAGAGATATTGTTTCTGGGTATAACAAAAGAAATGTCATAATCTCCCAAACGACAATCTCCCAAAGATTGTCAATGATAATTTCTTGATCTTTTAAGACTAGAGAAAGGAAAAAGGCCACAGTAGAAAGTTACTGATGTGTGAGGTCCTGAGGGTGGGAAAGGAGAGATGAGATGGAACAGAGGCAACAAGGAGGGGAGACATCTCAGCTGGGTCCTCCTAAGCACACCCAGGCCAGTGCATAGGCCTTCTCTGACATCCAATTATTTTGCAGGGTCAAAAAAAGATCCAGTAACCCAAGAATTTAAAATTTGAATACATGTGTAATCAAAGATAAGAACATATTATAGGGGCTGGAGAGATGGCTCAGAGGTTAAGAGCACTGACCGCTCTTGCAGAAGACCTGGGTTCGATTCCCAGAACCCACATGATGGCTAACTACCATCTGAAATTCCAATTCCATGGGATCCAATGGCTTCTTCTGACCTCTGTGGGCATTGCATGACATGGGTGCACCTACCTACATGCAAGCAATATATCCATACACATTAAATAATAGTAAAGACAGAACAGATTGTGAAGATAATCGAGAGATATTATTTCTGATTATAATTAAAGAAATGTCATAAGCACAACACACACTTGGGATTCTCCTGCTTCACACTCACCTCCCGTGTTAGGGATGCAACCCGATTTGTTAGCTTGGCCCTTTGGTGGGACGACAAGAGAATTCAGAAGAAAGGTCCTGTTGCAGACAAAACACAATTGCATCTATAATTACTGGTCTGTTTGCAGTTATCACAGTGATTCAAGGCACACAGGAAATTTGAGACACAGCAAGCTTCTTTTACCCTTTCATTCCATCCCTCGCCTCTCCTGTTTATATTAGAACTGCTAAAGACATGGAAACAGGCTCATGTAAGATGTCCTTTTCCACTGTGGCCTGGCACCTCTACTGAGAGAGAGAGAGACAGAGACAGAGAAAGAGACAGAGAGCCCACTCCTCAGCATCTTAAAGTTTTTAATCTTGGGGCTGGAGAGATGGCTCAGCCGTTAAGAACACTGGATGTTCTTTCAGAAGACCCAGGTTCAAATCCCAGCACCCACATGGCAGCTAACAACTGTCTGTAACTCCAGTTCCAGGGGATCCAACAGCCTCTTCTGTCCTCCGTGGGCATTGCACGACACGGGTGCACTTACCTACATGCAGGCAATACACACAAACACATAAAATAAAAATAATAAATATTTTTTTAATTTTTAATCTTATATTTAGGTGTATGTGTATATGTGTGTCCATGTGTCTGTGTGCCTGTGTGTCTGTGTGAGTGTCTGTCACCTATAGGTGGATGCCTGTGGAGTCCAGAAGAGGGTGTCAGATTTTCTGGAGCTGGAGTTAAAGACTATTGTGAGCAACCCAATGTGGGTGCTAGGAACCGAACTCAGGTCCTCTGGAAGAACAGTATACACTCCTGACCACTGCCATCTTTTCCAGGTCTAATCTTCAGCTTTTTAACAGTCAGTCTGTTGAAATTCTCAGTGTTAAAGTTCTCTACACACCCTTGTGATGTGTCCTAAGGGTATCTTTTAGGTATGTTTTAGGCACTTGTCTAAAAAGAAGCAATACATTTACATATTGGTAGATTTACCACCATATACACATAAGGTAACTCAACATATTAGAGATAAAATAAGCATAAATAAGCACATTTATTATCCTGGGGAAGGGGAGGCTAGAACTGGATCTGTCCAGACAGGTACCATGGGGAAAGTTAAATCTGAACTGCAGAAGACTGTTACCCAAGGATCAGAGGCCTTCAAAGCAGGAGCATAGAAGACAGATGATACACCTACTTCATCCTTGGGTAGCGGGGATAAAGTTAATGACAGGCAGTGACCTGAAGCTACTGAGCAGAATGAAAGGATCGTAAGAACCAGGATAAATGGATGCAGTACTTAGACCAGGTGCTCTTAATCCTGGTCACACATTAGAATCACAACATCGCTTAAAATAAATGCTGAGGCTCAAGCCTCAAGAGTTTCTGATTCAATTTTTCTTGAGTGATGTAGTTTTGGTTTTCTGGTTTTGGGGTTTCTTTTTTTGAAGCTCCCACGATTCTTCTTCTCTTCTCATCCAGGTTTTCAAACCACTAACACAGACCATCAACGCTGGTCATCATTCTGACTTATGTAAAAAATAGAGAGATGGCCAAAATGGCTGTCTTTCTTTCACACTGAAGTGCAGAATTTCTCTATAGTGACCTGAGTAGATCCATACTGAAAACTCATAAGGAAAGAAGCACTGTTACTTTGTAAAGGATTTGAGAGAATCAGGCTGAGGCAGATGAGAGAGCAGCAGTTAGGGATGCTTAAATCAGGTGTGTGAGTTGGAGGTGAGTGATCACAACACTGGGTACTTTAGGAACACTTCGGGTAAACAGCACTCAACTGTGGCTGTAATTGGGATCACCTAGTGAGCTTTTAAAGCTTCCTAAATCCCAGCCAAACTGCAGACCAACACCGGCAACATCATATTTTTGGACCTTCCTTTCTGATTCTGATGTGTAACCAGGGTTGAAAACCACAGCTTTATAGATTATCTATTAATGTCTATTCTCAGTAAAATGTCCCTCTCTTCTTTTTTCGGACAGGGTCTCCTTGCAGCCCCAGCTGGAACTCACTATGTAGACCAGGCTGGCCTCAATCTCACAGAGATCCTCCTGCTTCTGCCTACTGAGTCCTGAGATTGAAGGCCTGCATACCATGCCCAGTTATTTGCCCTCTTTTAAAGCTAGAAAAGATTCTAACAAAGTCAGTAAGTAGTCTTTCAGGTATTGAAAACCAAGGACTAAAAACAACATCAAAGCTTGGATAAAAGTAAGGCAAAGAGGACTAGGAAGAGAAGAGTGGAAAGGAAGAGGTGATAAGAGGGAGGAAAGAGGCTAGGAAAAGAAGGCTGGGGGTCAGGCAGTGCTGCACCCAGCCACAGCTGTCTAGCCCTGAAATGACCGTGACCCAACACCATGCAGATCTGTAACACCAGGACCTGAAAGATGGTGTGTGAAACTCCAGATCACTCCTTCTCTTGTTGTTGGGTATGTTCCTTAAGCTTTAAATATTTCCAGTTCTGGGCCTGGTATGGTGGCACACACCTTTAATCCCAGCACTTGAGAGGCAGAGGCAGGCAGATTTCTATGAGTTCCAGGCCAGCTGGGGCTAGAGGGAGACTCTCTCTCTCTCTCTCTCTCTCTCTCTCTCTCTCTATCTCTCTCTCTCTCTCTTTCTCTCTCTGTCTCTCTGATTCTGAAGCCCAATGTTGCTTTGCTAGAAACCCAAATCTCACCTGGGCCCTGGGCTCTGGGCTCTGACATAAAACTCTTTCTCTATCAAGCTTCCTAATGCCCTGGGCTTTATCTTTAAGAGCAACTGACTTGGCTATGACAAGCAGGGGTGCTGAGGCTTAGAAAGAGCCACAGGTGTCTCCATTGACAGTATCCACGTTAATCTGTTTTTTCTTCCCAGGATTTTTCTTCAATTCTAACCCAGGTCCTTACTACAGCTGAAAGATGCCTTTCAGCTTGACCTTATTGGTGAGAGTTTAGAGACCAAAAACCTCAAAACACAATATGATAAAGTGAGAACTAAGAGATTTTCACTGGATTCTCTTTACCTTGGACAAGCAAAGATGAACAGATTCGAAGGTTACAAAATCCACATCACTGACCTCTATTTTCTCCATCCTTAGAACTTGTACAGATAAAAGAACAGCTTCTACTCCTTGACAGATACCAAATTTCAAAACAGACCACCTGCTGCTATCGGAGCATGAAAAAGCAATTTTCAAAGACATAACTACCATCTCCAATAAGACATAAGATCACTTTTACTTTGGATCCATTCATCTATGTATCTGTCATAAATAGATTGTGGGAAGGAATGCTGAAATCCAAGCGAATGATGCTGTGTGGTATGGGACAGAGAGCTAAGTAAGCTTACCTGGAAAGAGGCCATGTCACTCAACCACTGTGCCCAGAGAAGTGGGGCCCAGCATGAAAACAAAGTAGATGGAAGTGTGTCGAGAGGCACACAATGATGCCTTCTCTTTCTCAAGGCTTTTATAACATTGACATACTCAAGTGCTTCTCTAATTCAGAGTCAGGCACTTTATTAAAAATTTTTTTGATCTATTTAATTTTATTTTATGTGTATGAATGTTTGCCTGCGTGTATGTATTTACAACACATGCATGCCTGGTGACTACAGAAGCCAGAAGAAGGTGTCAGATCCCCTGGAACTGGAGTTACAGATGGTTGTGAGCTGCCATGTGGGTGCTGGAAACTGAATCCAAGTCCTCTGGAAGAGTAGCCAGTGCTCTTAACCACTGGGTCATTTCTCCAGCCATACACACCCCAAAATGAATAAGTTTAACATGGTGAGTTGAGAGTATTTTGGCCTGAAAAACTAGTTCCTGAAAAAACCCTAAAATAACAATAAAATGAAATTTTTAAATGCAGAAATCCAGAAGACAGAGAGAACAGACAAACAGCACAAAGCGTTAGGAGGTGGAATTGATTTGGGAGTCCTGAGGAAACTGAAAAACATTAAGACAGCAATAAAGACAAAACTCAACAGGATTCACTCTTCAGAATGCCCAGATACTCAAAAATGGGTAGCCACCAGATCTCTGGAGAAATGAAAGGAAGTTTAACATTAAGATTGATTGACTCTATTGAGGAAGCCATTACGAAATTGCAAATCCCAAATTGCAAATGATCAAATGCCCAAGAACAAGAGGATGGATGAATACAGCACACCATATCCACAAGAGGTGCCAAACCCAGCAACCACGAGGAACAGACCACGGATGCATGTGGAAATGTGGATGGATCTCCGAAACATCTGACTGAGTGCAAGTTTGCATGCTATATGCTTCAGCATATATGAAGTTCTAGAACAAGCAAAATTAATTGATACTGAAAAAATTGAACAGATCTTTCTAAAGTTTTGATATTGTTTAAAAGTGTCCCCCAAAGGCTGACAAGTCGAAAGTTTGATATCTACTACAACAGTGCTGAGAGACGGTATGTCACATTGAGATGTTCAGGAAGACTGTGGGACCACGGTCTCTCTGGTCCCTCCAGCTTGCTCTTTGGAGGTCTTATCTCTTACCCCCATCAGCAGTCTGTGGTGAGGCAAGGCAGTCAAAAGAGGCCATCAACAGAATCTGCACATGCTGCTTGAACTCTGAGTTTCCAAAGCTATGGCACTAAATAAACATCCCTTTCTTCCTAAGCAGCATGCCTCAGTTATTTCATTACAGTAATGAAAAACAAACTCTAGACCTCTTATTAGAGGGGGAGTGAATGGGAAGTGTCACAGGTAACATTACAGAGTGCTCCTGGAGAAGGTCTAATCATAATCTGGTTGATTATTACTACACACGTGCACATCCATAGTTTCAGCAAGCTAATATTTAAGATGCATTCCATTATATTTATGCTAACCCTTAAAAATGAAGTCAGAATTCCTGAATCTTTTCCTGACCTCATCTATCAACCAGGAAGAAAAATCTTTGTGCAATCAGTGCTAATGACCGAAAGAATTTTCTTCACAGAGCCAAAATTCCATGGAGCAACACCTTCAAGTTTTTTGAGAGAAATTTTTGACTCAAAAATTCTATATTCTAGCTGGGTGTGGTAGTGCACAGCTTTAATCCAAGCACCTGGGAATCAGAGACAGGCACATCTCCATGAGTTCCAGGCCAGTCAAAGCTACATAATGAGATACTGCCTCAAAATTTAAAATTCTATATTCTGCTAAAAAAAAATTCAAAGTTTGAATAGAATAAAATGTTTTTACAGTTTAAAATTTTATATACAGGTTTTTAAAAACATATTCTTCAGGTGTCCTTTCCTTAGAAAGCTACTAGAGGATGCGCCATGAAAAGGGAGAGAAAAAAAAAGAAAAAATTTTTTTTTCTGTTTTAAACTGAATTACCTCTTCTTCCTCCAGTACCAGACACAAGGTTTTCCTGGGGTGGAATGAACTTCAGTTCTATTTTCTGTCCATTGTAGAAGGAGCACAGTGAATGCCTGAGCCAATTTTCAGCGTGCACTTCACTGAGGGGCTGGCAGTTGTGATGGAGGTGACTGTGGTCTCTGGAGAGATGTGCAGTGACTGCAATGCAGGCACATGCAGCCCTGGGTGGATTAGAATGGCAACTCTGGGCACAGCACTCAGGAGGAAGTGGAGTGGGAAGGCCCAGGCACTGCTTGCAAATGGAAAAGACACAGCTCATCTCGGCATGGGGGAGCAGGGCACAGGACACCTCTCAGGCAGGGGCAGAGTTATGGGAAGGGGCAGTTAGAAGGCCAGGGACCATTCTCTGTCAGTCATGATGCCTTTACTCTGCCTGGCTCTCCCCTCCACTCTGAAGGCACAGTGAGCTGGAGTCTACCTAGTTGCCCCCTGTGCTGTTTCTCTGCCTGATGTCTGCCCAGTAGTGCTGTCCTCAGGGTACCAACAGCACCCGATTCTGCTCTGGGAAGTCCTCAGAACACAGCTGTGCACCTCTCATCAGTGCACTGGCAGTGGTCTCTAGAGCGGAGCTATTCAAGGCCCCTGTCACAGTAAGCAACACAGCACCCAGCACCTCTGAAAGTGATGCATAAGTCTCCCTCAAACTCCTGCTCAGCCTTTTTGGTCAGTGAATGCTTGGTGGGAAGTCTGGGATTGCTTGGGTCTTTACTTTGGTGGGACTGATTCACACCATCTTTCTTTTCTCTCTAGCCATTGGAATGACTCCGCCCTCTTTCCAATGACCTCGTAATGTTTTCTTTTAAAAAAATTAAAAATATTATTTGTGTTTGTGTGTCTGTATATGGTATGTGCATGTGAATGTAGGTGCCCTCAGAGGCCACAAGAGGGTGTCAGATTCCCTGGAGCTGGAGTTATAGGTGGTTGTGAGCTGCCAAACATGGGTGCTGGGAACAGAACTTGGGTCCTCAGAGCAGAACATGCTTTTAACTGTTGAGCCATTGCTCCTGCCCCCTGGTGACTGTCTTGCAGGGTTATTATCAGCTGCACGTGTCAAGCCCATTTATGTGGGAATTCTCATTGTTCTCTGGGCTAGAAATTCTCCCACCAAGAGCAGATCTCCTGGGGGGACCTTGAGAAGGTGCCTTGATGCTCATAGTGGGTGCTGACAATGTTCAGAGCAAGTTGGTTGTGAAGTGCCCCGTGTGTGTGTGTGTGTGTGTGTGTGTGTGTGTGTGTGTGTGTGTGTGTAGAACAGCTCTGCACTACAATAAATGGTTTCTACGTATTAGAAATAGAAGATGTGTTAAAGGACACATCACAGTCCAGCTCCCACACAATGACTGAAGTGTCTCTGCCACATCCCTGAACTGGCCCTACACCTATGCAACTCCAGTAGCCATAGCACAGTAGCCATAGCAACTGCACCTACCCTGATAATCAAGCTATTGGGATATTCCTTGTATAGGGTTACAGTGTATTTCCCTAGAATTTGCACACTTTGCATATGATCCAACTCTCCTGGGAACCTGAGATGCCTCATCTCCTTTTATTTCTCCCTCTCATCACCTGCTTTCCCATTTCCTGGTCTGAGGTTCACAGCTGCAACACCTGACACCTTGTCACCCACTTCTACATACATTTAAACTGACTTTTATCACTTTGTATTTGGGATCCACACTCCAGAAAGCATCTGAGCAGCTGAAAGAGGCACTCCCTCAAGAAAAAGCCACACCCCAAAGTGTTACAGTGGTTATCTGACATTCTTATCTTGTCAGATACAGAAATAAAGTGGTTTACCTCTGATATTCTGGAGATCCATTTGGCAGAGCTGACTCGACTCTTTAAGGCTTCTCTTATCTGATTGAACAAAGGGCATTAAGAATTATAAGAGGTCAACACACGTGACAGAACTTGACAAATACTGAGGCAACAGAATGAGCGGCTGGCTGGGTTCTCATGGTGAGATACGGTGGAGTGGGCTGGAGGAAAGTGGGGAGATAGGAGCGGGGAGTGGGGGCGGGGAGCTGGTGCAGGAGATGCAGATCCACATCTTAAACAGGGACCCAATGGCTAGGAAGCAAGTTTGCCAAAAGCTTGAGCATTCCAATCCCAGGTTTGGCCTTACTTTTGGGGCACTAAAATAGTTCGTCAAAACCATTTGTCAAATCTTTTGTAAAGGAAAAAATACTATACCATATAGCAATGGTTAAGACCCAAGGAAGGGATAATAATAATGATGATAATTCTATTATAATGGGTTTTTTTTTTCTTGGCCTTTTTGAGACAGGATCTCCCTGCAGCCCCAGCTGGCCTAGAACTTGCTATGAAGACCAGGCTGGCCTCAATCTCATAAAGATCCACCTTCCAGGTGCTAGGATTAAAGGTGCACACCACCACGCCTGGTTAACTTTAAAATGTTTTTCACACCTGTCACCTCATTTTACCCACAAAATAACCCTGAAAATAGATATTAGTATCCCCATTTTATAACTGTGGAGGGTAACAGTTCAAGGTTAAGTAACATTTGAAGTTGGTCAGCTAGAAAGAGAAACCACCAGGGCTTGGATTCATATTCCTCATACAGATCATCCTGCCTTCCTCCCTGATTCTCTCCTGCTTCCTTTCCTTTTTCCCTTCTGCTATGGAAAACATTGCTTTCTAAGGCCTTGCCTACAATCTGTCCTCACATCAATGTCTGCCAAAAGCCTGCAGCTCAGAAAGACTTCACCCTTCCCTGAAAATGCAATGTACTTTGCTATACACAGGTTTCTAAGAAAGAGAAGCACTCTGGGGCCAATTGGGATTTGTGAAGATATACTGAAGCTTCTATTGACAGTTTTGTTCTTATCTTTTACTATTCTATGTTTCATAATGTACATAATATTTACTTTAAAAATTAACAATAAGCGCATTTTGGAAGGCATGCCGTTTTCAACTGATCTAAAATTTGAAGACTAGTGATTTATACTACTTTGTGTTCATTAATCATCTCTGTTCCTGTGACACCTTTGAGCATTTATCTTTTACACTTTAATATTAAATGGAAGAGATTCTCAACTTGATCAACAGTTCCATGGCTTAGAATTCTTTGTGCGTCTTACAGCATCTAACACCAGTATGCTAAATAAAAGTGCTGCACCTACTGCTACTGGCTATACATATTAGTTATGGTGTTACAATTAACAGGCACAAAAGTCTGGCATTTATGACTGTGGGATATTGTGAATGCTTCCTTTATGGTTTCACCTATAAAGTTAAATTCATCCTTTTCTGTAATCTAGTGAGGGAGGACAGCACATCTTTTAATGTTTTTTAAAATATTTTATTTTTTTTATTTTCTGGGTATGAGCATATTGCCTGCATGTGTGTAAGTGCACCCATGTCTTGCGATGCCTGTGGCGATCAGAAAAGAGTGTCAGATCTCCTGCAACTGGAATTATGGACAGTTGTTACCCACCATGTGGGTGCTAGGAATCAAACCCATGTCCTCTGCAAGAGCAGTCAATGCTCGTAACCGCTGAGCCATCTCTCCAGCCCCAGGAGGAGGGCACGTCTTTATCTGTGCATTCCTCTTGAGGAATCTGGGACTCAAGAGTATTATGGAATTTCCTAATGGCACACAGCTAGTACAGATGCTCCTTTTGTGAAGGTAGGGTTGCATCGAAACAAACTCATTGTAAGCTGGAAATATACTAAGTCAAAATTACATTCGGTACATCTAATCTACTGAACATCACAGCTTTGCAACACAGTGGAGTGTTGCGTGTAATCGCATGGCTGACTCAGACCTGCGGCTCACCGCCAAGGCCCAGCCTGGTGAGAAAGTATCGTGCTGCATAATCCTAGCCTCGGAAAAGAACACAATTCAAAATAAAGTTCCTGCTGAAAGTAAAGCAGTTTGTACCATCATAAACTGAAAGATATTTTTTATAGGTTGAAATTTTGTAAGTCGGAGATCATCCGTACACAGAAATATCAATACTAACTCTGTTCGCTTCCGAAAATTTTTTCCTAGGTTGACATAGTATCTTCCTAAGACAATGAAAGGTAGTTGTGAAATTCCGCTCACAAACTTTTGATACTGATTTTTGTAATACGATGGGATTAATAGTTTGAAAAGATAAACTAGGTTTTGCTTCTGTTTTTGTTTTGATGCTATTCCTTTGCATCGTTTTTTAATTAATTTATTTTGATTTAACAGAAGGTATTTGCATCTGCATCTGAAAGGGTTGCAAGCTTGACTTACTCCAAGAGGCACTGTGGAACAATGTAAAGCAAGAATGCAATCTCAGTAGCTTGAGTTAATACTTGATGTTTTGCTATTTAGTCTTTCTTTATCTTCACCAGATACAACCATCAACATATCTGAATTTGGAGACTTCCCTCCCTGGAGTCCACTACTCTTCATAGTAAAAGTCAGGAACTCACCCAGACAAGATGTGGCCAAGATGCAGCCATGTGATGAGCTCAACTAATGATATCCAACAATACAAAACCCACAGGCACCAGGGCCCCAGGAAGCAGTGCTAGGTGAACCCGTAGACAGAAGTGGCAACTCTGTTTAAACCATCTTGTCCCTAACATTGGACTGTGATGCTGAACTTTCTGTGCCTAGGATGAGGGCAGGGCCAATGGTGCCTCTCCCTGGGCAGTTGTGTTGTGCATTGGGAACTATTCCCAGAATATGGTCTTCAAGTCCAGGAGACTGCCTCCCAATATGATATTGTGAGACTTAACGAATTCCACAACAAGCCAGAGTGAGTCTGCAGGATCTTGAGCATGCTAGGTACTCCAGTGAGTCTGTTTCCTCACCTATAAAACAGACCATAGTAATAGCCAAAATTGCTTTAAGTTAGAGCTAATGTTCATGAACTGCTTAACCCCCAAAGAGGTTGAAAGATGGTTGGCATCACCTGCATTAAAAGAGCACTGAAACTCTGGTCAGGTGTCTGCATAAATGATAGAGGTGAAATAAATAATCAACAAGTACACATTCAGGCCAATACTGACCAAACAGAAAAACTAAAGATGGTTTACATATAGTACCTTTGGATCCAAGATGGTCCCGAACACCAGGATGAAGAAACCCTGCAAAAGAAATGGGAAAGAAGATCCATTTGCAAAATAGTGATCATCAGAAAAACAAATGCCAGCATTCACTACTATTCTGGCAAAAAGAAAACAATTTTATTCAATCTTTTCATTTCCTATTCAAAGGTCAGAACATCTAGATTCATTTATTCAACAAACATTGTCCCCCCTGTTGCAGCTATTGTTCTGAACACTGGGTACCCCTCAGTACTCTGAGCCAAGCACAGGCCCTGCAGGGCTATTTTAGAAACTTCAAGTGCAGCAAATTGAAAATGGTTTTCATTTAGCGGAAGTTGTTTCTCTCAGAGTATAATGATCCAATAAAGAGGTAGACTAGATGTTTAGAAATGCACATCAGGCTTACAGTTGCAGTCTCTGAACAGTAAATAATGAAAGAAGCGTCCACAGCACAGAGAAAAGCAAGTGAAATCGGCCACCTGTAATCTCTTTATATCACCCTCACAGTGAAAGACCCTCCACAGTTATGGTCCATATGAGGTTTTCTTGTTTGTTTTTATTTTTTCATCCCTCCCCATGCCTCACATCACATTCACACAAAACCTCCTTGAAGGAAGAGCAGGGAACAGCCCCATTTTCCTAATAGGAAAAGGAAACTCAGAAATTCAACTTTCAAAATGTGGTAGACAGCAGCATCCCTTAGACAACCTTTTTCTTGAATGTTGACTTACTTGAGGGGTGGATTTGAAAAGGGAAGTGAGAAGATGCCTTTTCATCTTGGCATCTCCTTGTTAAGTTGCTCTAGTTTTGTAACTGAATATGAATCCAGTCAGAGAAACACAACTGGCACCGTAAAAGATGTTATAGCTACTTGTTCAGCAGTGAAAACAACCAACCTACTTGCTATTACAATTTGGTAAAATCACAGCTGAGTGATGGAGAATGACAGGATCCAACATAAAGTCAGACAGTTCATTCATTCCTCCAGCTTACAGAAACACACCTTTCCAAACAGGCTGTCCAACAAACATGCAAAGCATGGTCTGCACATAGCTTTTATCAGATTGTATGTACACGTAAACTCTTTGTTATAATTTTTAAGTTTTTTTATTTGTGTATGAGTGTTATGCCTGCATGTGTGTAAGTGCACCCATGTCATTCAGCACCTGTGGAGGAGAGAAGAGAGCATCAGATCCCGTGGAACTGGAATTACAGGCTGTTGTTAGCTGTCATGTGGGTGCTGGGATTCAAACCTGGGTCCTCTGCAAGAGCAGCCAGTACTCTTAACTGTTCAGCCATTTCTCCAGCCCCTTTTAAATAAGTTTTAATAAATGTTTAAATTTTACTTATTGTTGTTGCGTGTGTTTGTACTTTGTGTGCGTGCGGGTGTGGGCGTGTGCATGCACAGCGTTGTGTGAATGTGGTTGGAGAATGATTTCTGAGAGGTAGTTCTTTCCTTCCACCTTATTGAGACAGAGTTTCTCTTGTTTCTTCCAGGCCAGCTGTTCTGCAAGCTTCTAGCCAATTCTCCTGCCTCTCCATCCCATCTTATGATAGGGGTGCTGGATAACAGATACTCACCACTGCATCCAGCTGTTACATGGATTCCAAGGATGGAACTCAGGTCATCAGCCTTGCGTGGCAAGTACTTTCACCTGCCGAGCCACCTCACTGGCCCCTCAAATTCTTAAGCCCATAGGATAATTATCAAAATCTGCCACTGACTCTACTAGTAAAATGTCATAGGTGACATGAAACATTAAGTTGCAAAGTGTCATTCTTGAAAGATGTTTGGGATAAATATATCCTAGGAATGTTTTGTGCTAGGGATCATTTTAAAATCATAATATAAATAAAATTGGCCCCGTCTCTAATTTATTTTTTAATCTAGAAGTCACAATTCTAAATTAAAAGAATTTTAATCTATATTTCTTCTACACTGATTTTATTTTTGTTTTGGGGAGGTAGGATTTTGTTATTTATTTTTTTGCTGAAGAACTAAGAATGTCTCATAAGATTTTAAATCCCTTGGGTTGATTTTTTTAATATTTGCATTTGCAACCTTTAACATAATGATTGTCATGAAACAAATAATAAATGTATTGATTCTGTTTGGAATGTGCATATATTTAATAACTTTATGTGGTTCTGTTTTGTGAAGGGTGATGTGGTTCCAGGGACTGAACTCAGGGCCTTGGGCATGTCACACAAACACTCTACCACTGAACTATATTACTAGCTTTAATGACTCTATTATACACCCTCTGTTTATATAGTGACAAATGCGTCACAGGGAAATAGTCCATTAAAATTGTTTTTCACTGGTTTATGCCAACTTGTAGAAAGTTACATGAAATTTTCTGAAAATATTGTGATAAAAGATTATTCACAACAAAAGGGACACAAGGAAGCCTGTTATTTTGTAAGCTAATTTTTAAAAAAATAAAATTTGTGGACCTTGCATGGTGGCACACGCCTTTGATCTCAGCACTTGGATGGCAGAGGCAGGAGAATCTCTGCAAGTTCGAAGCTAGCCTGGTCTACATAGTGAGTTCCAGGCTAGCTGGAGTACAGGGATACCCTGTCTCAAAAAGACACACATACAAAAAGTAGTCTTACTGGATACTACACACACACACACACACACACACACACACACACACACACACAGTCACACACACACACACACACAGTCACACACACACACACACACACACACACACACACACACACACAAAGAAATACTTTGTGCTCTCTAGGAAACTAGAAGCTTTTTTCATAAATTACTACATATATTTAATATTCAATATATTAAAATATTGACTAATTGGTTCACTATGAACAGAAAAGCTATTGGAAACAAAATTTCAATCAAGAAAGAAACTATTAAATAACCAAAACTATTCAGACATTAAAAGGACAGACATACTAGATCAGTAAAAGATCAAGGTGTATCTTTAAGAAAGAAAGTTGCATAATAGCTGCACATGTAGCTCAGTGGTGTAGTACCGGCCTAACACACCAGAAGCCCTGGGGTCAGTCTCTCGCACATAAAACATTGCTTAATTCATACAAATGAAATTAGACGGGGAAGAAACTACCTCTACTACATCTTTGTATAGCCTGCCTTGTAAAAATAAGGCACTATCCAATGGTGACTAAAATATCTAAGTAGTAGAAAATACAAAAAAATGTAATACCTCCAGTTCTAACCCTAAATTTTGGAAGAGGTATTATTGCTTCATTTTAAATAAAAACTTCTCAGGGATGAGTATGTGGTTCATTTGGTAGAGTGCTTGCCAACTGTGCATGAGGTCCTGGGTTCAATGCCTAGTACCTCTTAAAGAATGCAGTGTGCATTTGTAAAATCCCAGTACTTGGGAGATGGAGGCAGGAAGACCAGAAGTTTAAGGTTACCCTCTGCTACATAGAGGGTTCAAAGTCAGTCTGAGATACATGGAAACTCATGTCAAAAAAAAGTAAGAAAACAAGTCAGCCTATTAGTAAGCATTATGATTTTCAGAATGTTTTAGTACTTGAATTTGACTTTTCCCATTCATCATTTTATTCCAATTTCCAAGTACCTCTGTAAAATGGCAACATTATTCCCTTTTCCTGTATGAGAAAAACACACTTTTAAAAAAGCTAAATATGCAAAGATCATGCTGCATATTATTAGTAAATGAGTCATAATTCAACCAGACCTTTCTGAAACAAACATCTATTTTCTCACTCATTGTCTTTTTTTTATGACAAGGTCTCACTGTAGACACAACTGGCCTGCAACTCACTATGGAGACCAGGCTGGCTTCAATCTCACAGAGATCCACCTGCCTATGCCTCCCAAGTACTAAGATTAAAGGCAGTACAACAAAGCCTGGCTCTTTCATTGCCTTTTGAATAGAAGCATCATGCCACAGACTCCTGCTCACAAAACCCCTGCACACCCACTCTCGCTTTAGATTCCGTCAGACCATCCACCTGAACTTACCTGGAATGCATTGAGCAAAGAGAAGATAATATGGAACGCCAAAGAGTGAACGTCGATGACCGTGGCTATTCCAAATCCCCAGGTCAGTCCCAGCAGTGGTGTAAGGATGGCGATGTTCTTACAGATTCTCACAATGGCTCTAACTTCCTGGAACATGGAACTACCGATGGCAGGTCGCTGGGTCTTGATGATGACCAGTGTGACTGTAATCAGGTTTACTACCACGATGGCTAGAGCTGGGACCACAAAGGCCAACAGGGCCTTGGTCATGTCCCAGTTAAGCCAGCAGGCCTCAGGCCGGAGGTAGCCTTTTCCAGGCTCAGTGACAGCAATTGTAACAACAGCAATAACCAAAGGACACCCATAGCCCACTGAAAAGAGACAGGCCACCAGGAATGACTTGGGCAATGTATGGAACACGATCAGAATTCCATAGAGGATGAGAAGTGCCTTGGCAAGCATCCAGAAAAACACAGACAGGTAAAAGAAATGAACAAAAAAGGTGGCAGCCACACATCCGTGGTGGTGTGTCACTGGGCCACTGAGGAAGGCAGCCACGATGAACCACATGTCAGCCATCAGCAAGGTGGCTGCGATGTTAGCGATGCAAAGATGACGTAAATATGAGATCTCTGTCTTTGTCACTTGACTCCAGACCAAGGCCTCAATGGACAGGCAAATGATCAAGCTGCAAATAGAAATGCCCAGGCCTATGTATGTGATATAAGTCAGAATCCGGCTCTCCAAGGTGTTGGGTGACATGAGAATTGAGAAAGACGTGAAGAACTTGCTTGGCCAACATTTGCAAACAGCTTGCTGGGAGTTTTCTTGAATCATCTCACAGGCCCGCTGATCCCATCTGTTCTCCAGAGAGTGCCAGCCCACACACTGCGACTTCCTCTCCTCTAACTTGCTGATCTTTTCAAAAACCAGAGAGATTCTTTCAAGCTCCTTAGGTAGAATGACAGACAGGACAAGTCCATTCACAGTTCTCTTTTCCAAAAGGCTGGCTTCCAGGATGGCCCCAAGAGTTGGAAAAGCAATGCTGATGACCTGCAAAGGAGAAGATACCTTCCGAAGCTCATTGGTACTGAGCAGCACCCTCCCAGTGACTTTATCGCCAGTATCATTAATTTGCATTGAGAAAGTAAAATTCTCCAGGTTTTCTCCTGACACCATGGTGCCCATGGTGTGAATGAAGGCATCTGATATGTTGATGGGGTGTTTCTTCACAAACAGCTTTTTTGCAAAGGAATTGACTGAATGAAGTAGGACACAGCTGCTGTTTCTGTCCGGAATGAAGGTCCAATTTGAGATGCTATTGCTATTAAGAATGTGGTTGGCCATGGCACTGTAACTCTGTCAATAAAGAACTGGCATTAATAGTGAGCCACTCTCTCAAACTGCTGATACACGTAAGATTTGCTTCTACAAAGTGTGGTGCTCTAACCAGCAGTGTAGGCATCCCCCAAGAACTTCCCAGAGGTGCAGAATCTCATGCCCCACTCTAGGCTTAATGGGTCACTTTCAGTATCTTAATTGAAGACTCAGGTGACTCGTTTGCACACCAAAACTTGAGTTTAACTGCAGACATGCCCAACCTGGCCCACGTGCTGCGTTCATCCTAGGATAGCTATGAACACAGCCCAACGTATTTGTAGCTGACAATATCATTATCACAATGTCAAAAGGTTAAGTCAGGCTCTTGGGAAATGGCTCAGTAAAGTACTTGCCACACAAGCATGAAGGCCCATGTTTGGATCTCCAGTACCCATGTAAGCTGGACACAGTGGCACATCTGTAATCCCAGCACTAGGGAGGCAAAGACAGGTGAACACCTGAAGTTCATTAGTCAGGCGAGCTCTAGGTTCAACGAGAGACACTGCCCTCAAAAGATAAAGTAAAGGAGCTGGAGCAATGGCTCAGTAGTTAAGAGCACTGTCTGCTCTTCAGAAGACCCGGGTTCAAATCCCAGCACCCACATGGCGGCTAACAACCATTTGTAACTCCAGTTCCAGGGAATCTAATGCCCTCTTCTGTCCTCCAAGGGTACTGCACAACACAGGTGCACTTACATACATGGCATAACACTCATACACATAAAATAAAAATAAATACATCAAAAAAAATTTAAGATAGAAACTGAAAAAGATCCTTGACATCAACCTCTTGCCTCTACACATATGCACATAGTGACACAAGCACAACACAACAGGTACATACACCCCCACACACATACACACACAGCCACTTACTTGGTCAGAGTACCTATCATGTAATTAACATCTATTGGTCCTAACTGTGTTATAGGACCCTATACAGGGACATGCTAAAAATTGGAAATTGACCTCAGAGGTTAAATATACTTTACTACTCTCTGCTTTCAGCATCCAAACTATGAAAAATGAATATATTCCATCTCCATTTCTGTAGTTCACAGGTCTGACTACTCTCTTTGCATTCAACTGCTTCCTATTTTAGCGACTGCTATAACTCACAAATGAAAATAAAGTCTTCCTCTATGTAGGACCTATAATGTTTCTTCAATGTTTTCAGGAGCTAAAATAATCAGTCCCTCACAGGCTCAATCCCACACAGCCTCTGCCTATCCCAGAGTCAGCCTCTCATTAAACAACCATTGACAGTCATATACTCACAATATCAGTCCACCCCAAAATCAGTCTCTCGTGGGACATCCCCTCAGAGAAAAGACTGAGAGGCCCACCATGGAACCAAATAAGTACTCTCCATGAATGGTACTTGATTCAACAGGTTTGTTTCGTTCTTTCATTTAATACTCTTCCTTCCATGAAGATTCATTGGGTACTCACTGTACTAAACATTTGAAAACATGGTTCCCAATTCTGAAGAAGCTCAGAGAATATTCCAACGAACCTAAATTCCTTCCTCATGGAGATAATGCTCTCCAGACATGTAAGGCCACTTACCTGCATCTTTGCTTCATCAACATCTCTGGTCAGAGTTGTTGAGATGTTGCGTAAGAGTTGTACCACAAGAGCGATGTTCCCTGGTATCCGGGGAGACTGCTGAATGTTTCTAATTACACAAGACAAATCCACTGGACACTTTTCCATCAATATATCTGCTATGGTTTCAGGTTTGCTGGCGAACTCATTTACACGTACAGTTTCTTCAAATGATTGAAGTAAATATGATTCCTAAGATGTGACCAAAGGAAAGAACTCTTTTATTGTGCTTCTCGTTGAACTTCCCAACTGACTGCCCCCTAACCTGTCTTCCAAATAAGAAAATATTAACTTTTATATATCACTTCAGATACTCCTGTGAATATATATTTCACATATATCATGTATGAAATATACATATATATTCCTATTGTCATGTAAGCTTATTTTTACTATTCCCAAGAGGTGGACCAAGAGACATGAGCTTATTCTTAAAACAGTGGGATCTAGAGAGATGGCTTGGAGATTAAGAGTCCTTACTGCTCTTGCAGAGGACCTGAGTTTGGTTCTTAGCACCGACATGGGACAGTTCACAACTGCCTATAACTCCAGCTCCAGGAAATCTAATACCTTCTTGTGTCCTCATCTGGCACTGCACACACACATACACATAATTAAAAACAAAAATAAAATCTTTTTAAAAAGAGAAAAATGTTAAGCTAAATTTGGATACAACAACTAGAACACCAAGACCAAAGGAGGACTAAAACAGTGCTAGGCAGACCCACCAATAGATTCAGGCTCTGGGTTCCACACTTTAGGACAGATGTATCAAGCTATGGTCCCAGCATGGTCTCCTGTTTTTTTTTATAAATTAACTTTATAGGAGCTTACCTGACTTATTCATTTAAGTACTGTCTGGGACTGCTTTCATGCCACAGAATTAAGTAGTTGTAACAGAGTTCATGTAACCCACAAAACCTAATATTTACCATCTAGTCCTTTACAAAAGAAGTTTGCTGATCCTTTCTTAAAAATATTCATTTTTGTTTTTTTGCCAACCATCCTGCCATTTTGTTTATTTGTTTGTTTGTTTGTTGTTTGTTTGTTGTTTGTGACAGGGTCTCAAGTAGCCCAGGCTGGCCTCTAACGCACTATGTATCGGAGGAAGATCTTGGTCTTCTGGTCATTCTTCCTCCCCTCCAGAGTGCTAAGATTACAGGCCTATCCCACCATGCCAGGTTTATACAGTGCTGATGGTCAAACTCAGGTCTTCATGCATGCTAGGAATGCACTTTACCAACTGAACTGCATCACCATCCACCAGCCTGCCCTTTCATAAGAGCAGTCCACAGACTAGAAGTTCAAACATACACAGATCATAGGTCCCTGCTTCTGAACACAAGCACACTCCAAGGACCTGCATGGGCTTCTCACTTAAGTTTGTCCTGACAAGGGTGAACCGCACCACCATCCTAAGAGAGTGCTTCTCCCTAGGCCTGAGAGGCAGCCCAGGTACCTCTGTTCTCAGGGAGCAGATGCATGGCCGTGGCTATCCATATCCCTTGAGATATGAAATGGAAACTGGGGTGGAAGGCAAGCAGAATATATTTTATTCGGCACTTTTCAAATGTTTTAAAACATTTAAATATTAAGATACATGGTCCTGAGGTTTCCATGGATATCTTTGTCCAGGGTCCTCCAACATGAGAACTCAGGAGCTTTCTGAGGTCTGGCGAAGGATTTCTGGAATGAAACTCACTAGTACCCAGAGCCACACAGAGAGTTGGAATGTTCCTGAGACAGAAGGCATGCCTAAGCAGATTCCTCCAAGGAAATCAGAAGCTGAAATTCAGAAAGATAAAGCCCCCTACCAGAAAAGGAGGAAAAGAAACAACAGGAGAAGAAACAGTATTTGACCCAATTTTATATATAATAATTTAATAGAAAAATATGAAGTCTGTGTGAACATATGTGAGCTTGAAGATCAGTCCTTCTCTTTTGGTCAGCCTGTTCATGCTTTAAGGACAGGAATCATCTAGGGAATCTTACTAGACTATAGAATGTGATTTCACTGGTCTGGGGAGGGGCCTGTGGTGGTTTGAATGAAGAGTCCCCCATAGACTCCAAGTATTTGGACATTTTGTCCCCAGTTGGTGGTGCTGTTTTGGGAGGTTTTAGGAGGTATGGTTTTACTGGAAAAAGCATGTCACTGAGGGAAGGCTTTGGGAGTTCTTAAACCTTGCCAGATTTCCAGTTTCTCTCTGTTTCCTGTGCCTGCTTGAAGATGCGATCACTCGATCAGCTTTCTGTCCCTCCTGCCACCATGCCTTCCCCACCATATGGACTCTAGCCTTCTGGAACTGCAAGCTCAAATAAACTCTTTCTTCTATAAGTTGCCTTGGTCATGATGTTTCATCACAGCAACAAAAAAGTGACTAATACAGGCCCCAAAGTCCATATGTTCAATAAGCTTTGGGGTATGTTATTGATCAGCAAAGGACACTTTGAGTATCTAAGCTTTGGGTTATTTAAAGAGCTAAGAAAATGAAGATGAAGAATTTCACCATGACAACTCTAGATGCCGCCTAGTTCTGCTTAAATGATCAAATCTCTTCGTGTCATGAAGCAGAGGGAGATGATGTACAACTCTCAGATGCCCAAAGTGAAGAGAGAAGGACAGGTAGATGCTTATGTATTCATGGACGGACAACCTATTGCTGCCCTGTTTTAGTCCTTCCTTTCTGTTTAAGAGGGACAGTATTACTAATCTGAAGTTCCACTTTGCTCGGAGACCCCAAATGAGAATCCATGGTATGAAGGAAAGAACATCACCTCAAAGATGTTGAAAGCAGTAAGAGTACAGCAGGTATCATTGACTTTATGCCATTTCTTGGCCCTGCAGGCAAAATCCATGTCACCCTCAGTGCCTGGAGGACACGATTGATGGCAGGAGGCACTTTCCGTACAGGCACCATCACATACACCTGGGAAAGTAAAAGTCATTCAGATCAGATGGAAAGGTCTCAGATCTTGGCTGCATCACCATCGTCACCAAAGTGTCATTGCAGGAAGTCATGTGAATTCTGTAACGTGGGTATCTTTTCTTGGTAAAATAGAATCCATAGTCATCATACAGTTTGATACAGGATCCTATTGTTTCTGACAGAACCACATGCCAAACTCTCATATATAAAACTGACTGAATCAAGTGAGGGAGAAGAACCCACAGGTTAGCCCACCGGGGCACCCTCACATGCCTATAGAGACCTCTGAGTACCTCCACAGAGTTCCAGAACTATCCAGGTCAGCCCTAATTTGGAATCTACTGTGCCTGATGCTCCTAAAGAAGCTTCCTAGTCCAGACCTTCACAGACCTTCCCAGGATGCCCACATGGTCAAGGAACGCTCAGAGATCTGTTCTAACCACTGCCATGGTTTAAGTTAGCTCAATGAGAAGAATTCATGACAAAGAATTCTAAGACTGAGTGGTGCAGAGGATGCTGGGAGTTGAAAGGAATATGGCTATGGTCAGAGACACAATGGAATATACATTAGACAAATCAAGTTTCAAATGTAAAATATGAGGGTGTCACATCTGTCAAATCACGAGCCAGAGGTCTGGAGTGGCCCAACATCACAACAGATGATTAAATTTCTGTGTGGCTAGTAATTGCTGCCAACATACCGAGTGGCTTGACAGTCACCTTCGCCATACTTTTGCTGGTGGTCTGAAAAGAGAAAAATCAAAATTCACACCAAATGAAGTTGTCAGCATGCCATTCCAGTAGTTCATTTTAGTTACAGAGTAACAACCATATTTGAATCAGCCATGATGACAACATGGTCACCAATCCCAGCCATTAAGCCTGGCCCCGTGATATCACTTTCCTTACACTTTGCATCCCAGTGCCAGACAGTAGGGATGTCCTCTCCCAGGTCAGAAGTCTACACTCTGCACAGGTAATACATTGTGGGCTGAGAAGAATTTACTCGGAAGTTAAAGGAGGCTTACTTCACTTGTGTTGGTCCTTTGAATCCTGAGAAAGAGCCCGGCCACATATCTATATGGTCATGTTTATTAAAAAGACAAACTATTTTAAATGTTAAGACTATTATTTTTGTCGGTCTGAATCTCATTTTTACTCTATGTCATTTGGGGCATCACTATAGGTGTGTGTCTATGGAATCTGGGCAAGGAGTTGAGTTGGGGAAATTTTTCATTTGAATGTAATAGGATACACTTGTGTAGTTTGTGGTCATGTCTAAAGTAGAAAAATATCAGCAGATAAGTAGCATTAATTCAAGATTATTTATAAGTGGCTGCAGAACAAGAAAATGCCAAGTGTCATGACATCTTGCAGCTCACTTGGGAGAAATTTGAAGTTTTCCCAAAGGTTAAAGCAGTCCCACATATTTACATAAAATTACTAATAAGTGAGAAAACTGAAAGGTGTTTTTCTAAACCAGCAATAGTAAGAAAAATAACCAACAATGCCAAAGGAAAGATTTGTCTTTCTATTCTATATGTGGAAAAAACTGCAGTCATTTGCATGTAAAATATAAGAACAAATGTATAAGCAATTCATTGATATAGAATTATTTTACTAAACTTATCACTGAATAATGTTGATTACTGGATACAAAATAAATTACTGGATACAAATTACTGGATACAAAACCCATCACCAATTTTATGTTAGAAATTTCTTCAATTTCTTTTCTCATTCTAAGAAAATGTTCATTTTTGTTTTGTATTTTTAATATTTAAATTAATTTCTTATGTGTATGAGTATTTTGCCTGCATGTATACAACTGTGCCACATGTGTACAATGTTTGCAAAGGCCAGAGAGGGCATCAGATCCCCTAGAACTGGAGTTATAGAGACTTGTTAGTCACCCATCATGTAGGTGCTGGGAATTGAACCTAGGTCCTCTGCAAAAGGAGCTGCTGAGCCACCTCTCATATTATTTTTAAGAGGGCCCTATGTTCTGGATAACTTTAATTGTCAACATGACATAGCTGGGTAAAGGGAGCCTCTATTGGAGAATTGCATCCTTTGGACTGGCCTGTGGCCACGTCTATAGGGCATTTTCTTGATTGTTGAGTGATGTGAGAGGGCCCAGCCCACTGTGAGTGATGCCACTCCTGGGCAGGTGGTCTTGTGTTGTACAAGAAAGTAGGATGAGCATGGGCCAAGAGAGCAAGCCAGTAAGCAGCATTCTCCCATGGTCTCTGCTCCTGTCTCCAGGTTCCTGCCCTGAGTTCCTACCTTGGGCTCCCTCTGTGATGAACTGTGACCCAGGAAATGTAAGCCAAGTAAACCCTTTCCTCCCCAAGTTTGCATTGGTCAGAATGTTTTGTAACAGCAAATGAAAAGCAAACTAAAACACCCTACCATGAGTATTCCATCCCCTCTTTATAAGAATCCCCTCTCTGTCCCACCCTCCCATTTTATACGTATCTGGTTCTGCTAAGAAAGTGTGATCTGGGGAAAGCCCAACTGGTTTCAAGCCCTGACACAGTCACTTAAAGAAGAAGGCTCAACTCTCTGAGTGAGCCTGTTTCTTCATCTATAAGCTGAATAGGCATTATAGCACTATAAATGTACGATAAACCAAGAATATTTCATCCAAGAAATCCTTCCTGACTAAATTCTAAATGATTTAGCTTTTCCTATGGCTTCTATGGGATTCATTACACACCACACACCACGATGGTCACCCTACATTCACGTGGCCTACTATCTTTCTAATCTTTTACATGTTATCTTCTCAATTAAAATTGAAGTTCCTTAGCAACGTGATTATGTATTATCTTCCTTCATACCTGCCTAAGTAGCTAATTCAAGGTCTTCTACACATAAACATTTGTGTAAAAACATATTAGTGTGCATGTGACCATATATACTGACAAAATAGGCATGTATATATTAATACGTGTGTAAAGGGAGAAAAAAGGAAAACTTAGTATTTCTATTTCTGTACCAAGAGAGTGCCCTCTACTGGCTGGGAAGAGCCTTGAGCCAATTGTTACTGAAGAAACAAAATTTGAGGTCATAGCTGTTTGACTAACAATTGAGATTCATCTTCTTATAGTATTATTTCTCCCTATGTTATGAAGAAGCAAGGTTGAGGGGCTGGAGAGTTGACTCAGAGGTTAAAAGTACTGGCTGCTCTTGTACAGGACCTGGGTTCAATTCCTAGGACCCACATGATGGTTGTTAAACCATCAGTAACTCCAGTTCCAGAGGATCCAACACATGCAGCCAACACACTCATACACAAAATAAAAATAATAAATATTTTTTAAAGGTGTGTGATGAAAGGCTGGAGAGATGATTCAGTGGTTAAGAGCACTGGTTATTCTTGCAGAAGACCCGTGTTCAAATCCCAGCACCCACATGGCTTCTAACAACCATCTGTAAATCCAGTTCCAGGGGATCTGACACCCTCTTCTGACCTCCAAGGGCATTGCATGACATGGGTACACTTACATACATGCAGGCAACACACTCATACACATAAAATAAAAATAAATAATTTTTTAAAAGAAGCAAGGTTGAATAGTTCCTGTTTTCTCCATCAAATAATAGTGTAGAGAGACTCTGAATTAAGCATTTGAGGTCTCTCCACACAGTCAAGAAGATATTGCTAAGGACTCATGAAGAACAATGCCTTTGGCTAATGTATGACGGCCTCCCACTTTTATTCAAGATAATAAAGCCTTAGTGCATCAGCCAAAAGGTCAAAATCCTTCCACTAAACCAGAAAGCTAGTCTAATGTTTCTAGAGTTGTTGAAGACTCTATAGATAATCCAGTCCAACCTCATTATCTCACAATTAAGAAAATTAAAACTTTAATAGATGAGGTGGCCTGAACAATGTCATGCAGAGAAATTCTCTTGTTTCTGAGACTAGAATGTTGTCCTGCTAATTCCTACAACACAGCTCTTCCCAAAGGCTGGATCACATTCAGGTACAACAGGCAGAGAGGATGCATGGCAGGAAGTACGGGCTTCTCAAGTGGCTCCAAACTCATGTTGTTGGAGCCAGGATCTGCAATACACCATTAGAAAGGCAATTAGAAGTCAACAGCTCTGGAGGAGGCCTGGCCCACTAAACAAACTCCAGAGGAGGTGTGTGAGATTAATTAGGTATGTGGGTGGAAGGCCATGGTACGTTAGAGACAAGAAGTTCTGAGAAATCTACCTTTAATTAGAGGACCTGATTTCCTTCTTCCAAGTTAATTTTCCGAAGTACATCACGTATGATTCCTCTGGTTAGTTCATTTGTTGGGTGGCATTCAAAGTGGGTGACTTCAGTCTCAGACACAACATCCCTTAGCCCCATAGCACGAAAATGACAGCTGCAAATCAGCAACCCGGTCAACCTGCTGAGTGCCCAATGTGTAGGTAAGTCAGAGGGCAGTACTCAGCAGCTTGACAGCCCAGAAATGTGTTCGAGGGGAAGAAAAGGGTGGGTCACCTGGTAAGCTGATCCTCAGTAATAATAGCAGCAATAATGTTTCCTATGCTCTGCCTACTCTACATTTTGTCTCATTGAAAATAGTGAATGAGCAAAAGAAACACAGTACCAAGCTGGCATTGGGACGCCTCCAGCAGAAAGCCTTCCCAAAGAGTCTCTAATTTCAGAAATCAGATTTCAGTTCAGTGTTGGGATGAAAGGGGTGTCCCTGAGAAGGTTCTCATCTGAGGACAAGCTAAGTAGGGGGTAAATGTTGTTTGGAAAACTCCTGACAAGAACTTCCAAAGTCCCTCTCTCCAAGGAGGATCTTGCTAAGAAGGAATACATTAAAATGGAAAGAGTGAGAAGCTGAGTAGCTGAACACAGGAGTTCTAGCCTAACATTGTACAAGGAGTTACGTAGCTCCTATGAATCACATCCTACAACACTGACCTCAGTCTATAAAGTGAGGAGTGGAGCTTTACCAGTTAACCTCAAAGCTGTCTTCCAGGTCTTCCGGTCAAATAATAGCACTTCTATTCCCCAAATTCTCAAAATATTTTTAGATCTTCTCTCTACCAATGCTCCTCCACACCTTATTTTAAATAAATAATGGGAAAATTTAAATGCTAAATAAGGGAAAATGTACCAGAAAGAGCCACAGGATTTGCTGCCCCCACAAAAGTTAAAAAAGTGCACTGCTATAGACTCCACCCCAACTGGACTTCCCTAAAGGCAAGATGCTTAAAGCAAATGCAAGGCCATTTTGAGTGGGATGATGCTTCATTGTGCCAAACCACTTTTAGGTCCTGCCCACCAAATGTCATTCCTATCTCCCAGTCCTGGTGAACCCTCACCACTTCTATCTATTCAAGGTCTGCTCAAGAAACAGCAGTACCTTGGTTAGAAGGTAAAAGATTCACCTCCCAAGAGTGAGGGAAAAGGTATTACCCTTGAAAGATCTTGGTTCCATTGTATCTACGAACTGATGGGGAAAATTGATGAGAAAAAAAAAAAACATAACAAAATGGTCCATTTGTTACCTGTAGTAGCGATTTCTTCTGGCTGTGAGTCACCATCTCAGTTCCATTGTATCTACGAACTGATGGGGAAAATTGATGAGAAAAAAAAAAAAAACATAACAAAATGGTCCATTTGTTACCTGTAGCAGCGATTTCTTCTGGCTGTGAGTCACCATCTCCAGCTTGCACAGCAGCTCTTGGGTAGCAGAGCTGGTAGCTGATGGATTCTGTTGCCCATTTGTTCTCCCCTCCAACTCACCCTCCACTCACTCACTCACTTATCTTACCTGGCATAATGTCTTACAGGACTCTGTGGGCAAAAGAAAGAGCAAGCAGTACCACCAAAGTGTACGAATCATTGTCTTCCACACAGCTGGATGTCTTGCTGCTATAAAAATAAAAAAGGCAAAATGTCTGCAGTCTGAAACTTTCATAGCACCATGCCGCTGCAGACTCAGTCTGCTTCTGAGAACTGGCTCTGTCTTCAGTGCTGTCCAAACAGACCTCTCTGACTAAGAGGTGGTGGCCCTGGGGCCTCCCACCAATGTTCCCAGGAGGCTGCCTGTGGAAGCACCAGCCCACATGGGGAGGTGCAGGCCATCACTGAGCTATCCCTCAGTCTGCAGTTGATTTGCATGGCACACCTAGCATGGGAATCCCTCCAAATGAAGCTGCTTGATGGATTTCACCTTGCCTCCAGGATGTAACAAATACCAGCCTGTGTTCAGGGGATGGAAACTACACTCACTCTCTGGGTTAGGCAGGGCTGAGAACTGTGTAGGTGGAGGATACAGAAGAAGGAAGAAGGTAAGCAGGGATTTCTGTGGATAAGTTCACCCAGAAATACCTTTGGAGGAGAGTAAGCACCAGACTTATCCTGTTATCTCTCTCTCTCTCTCTCTCTCTCTCTCTCTCTCTCTCTCTCTCTCTCTCCCCCCCCCATTCAAAAGGTTCAAAAGGTGTGTTTCCCTAAGTGGGTAGCAATTTCTTCCAAACTGGTCTGCTCTCATGTCTACCAGAAACGGCATCAAAACTAAACCAACTGCTTACCATCTCCAACTGTCTTGGTACATGATGGACATGCAATACACTCAGAAATATACTCAATAGGAGCTGGAGAGTCGGCTCAGCAATTAAGAACACTGGTTGCTCTTGCAGGAGACTCAGGTTTGGTTCTCAGCATTCATATGGTGGCTAACAACCATCTGTAACTCCAGTTCCAGGGAATCTGACGCCATCCTCTGGCCTCCACAGGCATTACAGTCTCCACTCTCGGGAGCACTTACATGCATGCAAAACACTCATGCACATTAAATAAAAAATTTAAATATATAAATATATATGCTCAATAGAGGTAGAGAAAAGAAAGGAGAGGGTGGGAAAGGAGGAAGAAAGGAAGGAAGAAAGAAACAGGGGTGGGAAGAGCTGGCAGTTTGCATAACAGGTAACAAAGGAGTGTATAGATTCCCTTATAAATGATTCACTTGAGAATATTAAATTTTAATACTTTCATCTTGAGTAAGATCATCTTAGAAAAATATTAGATGTGTGCACTTTAAGATAAAAGGATTCAAATGACCAAAGTACATTGTATATATGTATAAAAATGGCACAATGAAACCCATTATTATGCATAATTAATATATGCTAATACAAAGTATTTTAAAAATAAGATTTGGGGGCTGGAGAGATGGCTTAGCAGTTAAGAACACTTATTGCTCTTCCAGAAGACCCAGGTTTGATTCCCAGAACTGACATGGCAGATAACAATTATCCACAATGCCAGTTCCATTGGATCGGACACCCTCTTCTGGCCTCTGTGGCGCATTGCACGCATGTGGTGCACTTACAAACATGCAGGCAAAATATTCAAACACATCAAATGAAAATAGTAAAAGATAAAAACTAAAAGATTCACATGCACAAAATGGCATACTCCCCCCACCCCCCAAGTTAATCAATCGAATTAGATTCAGAAGACTTGGCTGTTATCACAAAGCCCAGCAGCTATCATAATGTTGGTATTTACCACTTGACTGGTCTTCAGCCTGATCATGGATCATATATAACAATGTCATTACATTTAGGATGAGATAGAACTGATTTTCATTCATGTTTCCTGCACTGAAATATGAATCTAGCAGAAATTCCACTGAAATTCAACCATTGTGTGGAATGTTTCTTATTGTGTCTTTCAATCTAATGTTGATACAATGTTTGTGGTGCTCACACAAAAGAGCAAAGGTATTGCTGACCACTTTTACATATATTCAGTTGCAACACAGATGGATACACAATTTTCAGTAAAGTTACAGTCATTTTTGCATCTTTTACTTCAGCCTTAGTCATTCAAATTGATGACAACTCCAGTATGAAAAGCACCCAGTGAGCTCAGACTATGATCATGGCCATTACTGCTTTGGGTACAATCATTAAAACATAAAAATATTAAAGACATGGATGGATTTGTTGCCATAATTCTGATAAAACCTAGAAACAAACTTAAGCTTTTCTAAGTTCATTTTAGCCTTAAAAAATGTAAGTGGGGTTGGAGAGATGAATCAACAGTTAAGAGCACTGACTGCTCTTGCAAAGGACCTGGGTTCAGTTCCTAGCACCCACATGGTGGCTGACAACCATCTGTAACTCCAGTTCCAGGGGAATCTGACACCTTCTTCCGGCTTTCTCAGGCATGGCACAATATGGGTGTACTTTCATACATACAGGCAATACACTCATGCACACAAAATAAAAGTAAATCAAAAGAAATAATGAGGCAATAAAACAAGATATGGTGGCTCACTCCTGTGATCCCAACACTGGAGAAGCTGAGACAGGAGGATCGCTGAGCGTTCAAGGCCAGCCTGGGCTACATAGCTAGACCCCCATCTCAAAACAAAAACAAAAAGAAATGATTGGAGGCAATGAACTCTCGTAGATCTGTCACTATGCAGTCCACAGACTTAAGTAGGGAGCATTTTACAAAATGAAAATTGAGTTCTACAAATCAAGATGAAACCACTTTATTAGCTTAAAATTTTAGTGCATTATATTTTTTAAGTTTTTACTCCATTATCTTTTGCTTTAATTTTTAAAGGGTTAAATGTAATAGTTATAAAAATATTTTATTATTAAATTCTTGTTTCTATGTATGACAAAATAATCACTTTGTGGTTTATGTAGTGATATTCCTCGTTGGGCATGAAACACCTTTGTTAGGCTTTGCATGGTGGTCCTTTTTTTTTCTTTCAATGTATATTTTTACTGAATTTTTGTGGCTTTCATACAATACATTTTAATCATATTATCTGCACCCCCCCATAGCCTGCCCACAGGATTTCATGCATTCTGTCTTATATGTTAAGGCCTATCAAGTCAAGTTTATATATTCAGATGTCCCTCAGTGTGAGTTTATCCACTGGAGCCTGTTCAGCCTATCTAGCATCACTACCTTAAAGAAGATCAACTCTCACTCAATACTGGTTATTGCCATTGCTCTGGATTACATCCCATAACTTGACAGTAAGTCCCTATTGCTGAAGACACAGCATAGGTGAGTCATAGAACAAACAAGAAGAAATCAAGCTGGTACTGACCTCAAAGCCTCATCTTTACCGTCTAGCTTTCATGGTGCTGGAAGGTGCTATGCATGCTACTGGAAGAGAAATGGAATCATCAGTTTTACCCAATCCTGAATGCTGAAAGCTACAATAATGACTGTCCTGTCAAGATATGCCCACTTGTGCAATAGTGGCATGAATGTTATATGAGTAAAAAATCACTTTTGGATTGGATTGAAGGCCTGCTTCACAGGCTAGAGCCCATACCTGGCACTGTTATCAGGGCTGAGAACTTGTGACTAGACAGGTCATTGATCATAGGAGAGAACGTATTACTATTATTCTGCTAAATGTACATAGTATTAAATTGACTTCTGATGAGTTATTGTTATATCTAAAGGTGAATCTCTCAACTCTCACCAGAGAAGTTTCTTCTTGCAGCAGATTTCAATTAACACAGGGGCCCACAACTGGCCAACATGTAGTGAATAAGAGACCGCAGCATGCTCAGCCTTAAATGGGACAACACTATTGCACCCTCTCCTCCCAAGGCTCAGAGATCATTGCAGAAGAGGGGGGCAGGGGAAAGACTGTAAGACTCAGAGGTGGTAGATGAATACAAGGAAACAGTTTTCCAAACACAACAGTACAGTTGCACATATGAACCCACAATGCTTGTTACAACATGCACAAGACCTGTGCAAGCACAAGCCAGATAAAACTGCAGCATGGATGAGAAGGTAGGCAAGAAGTTCCAATCCTAGCTGAGGAACTACTAACAACTAATAGCTGCTGGAAGAAGAGGAGTTGGATTTTTTAAGGGTGTGGCCAGGCTCCAGGGGATGGACCCACACTCAAGAACATTTGGGGAACAAAAACTAGACTCAATAGGCCTTTAAAAATTAATAGAGGACATAAACTGAGGGGCTAGGAAAGTGGGGGGTGAATAGATTCACTTTCAAAGAATCAATAAAAATATACACAAAAAATATTAAGAGAAAAGTTAGAACCTTAAGATACTTGAATGCACAACCCATGGAAACAGAGAAAACTGACACTGTGCATTTAACCAAATCTCAGTATGTGAGCTAAGCCTGGGTGAGCCTTGGTGAACCTGAGGAGTTGCACACATCACATCAAAGATGATCTCCATCCTTCCCAGTCCTACTCTCTGCCATAAGATGCTGACTGCTACGGGATGTCTTGTCTCTGCTTCTGGTGGGTGTTTTTTTGGTGGAAGTCACTGGTAGGAGATTAGAGGGTGGAAAGAAAAGATGAAGATGCTTATTCTTAAGGGCTGGGGAGATAGCTCATGGGGTAAAGTGCTTGCCATGCAATCATGAGGACCTGACTTTGCATCCCTCCAGCATGCACATAAATGCCAATCTAGAAAACAATCACATAAAGACACACAGACACAAACTCACACTCTCACATGAAAATTCTTCACAGTTGGCAGGCGTGGTGGTGTACACCTTTAGTCCCAGCACTTGGAAGGCAGAGGCAGGCAGATCTCTGTGAGTTCAAGGCCAGCCTGGTCTACATAGCAAGTTCCAGGTCAGCTGGGGCTACAGGGAGACCCTGTCTCAAAAAGACAAAAGAAGAAAGAAAGAAAAAAAGAAAGAAAGAATTCTTCACAGTTATCTTTAACAAACAGAACGATATGAAAATACTTTTTGTTGCATGTGCATTCAAAGAAGAAAAGATAAAACAACAGATCCTGATAAAAACTTCAAAAGTTAAAATAACATCATGAACTTCATAAATGAATTAGAAGTCTGAAGCAAAGAGATACTAAT